TATATATATATATATATATATATATATATAAGTAATACAATGGTGTAATACGTTCATATCTTATTAAATGCAATATATAACAATAGTTTAATACTTTCATATTTTATTACATAGAATATACAATTTCCTACCTTGTTACATTCTCCTCTAAAAAAAAGAGCAATATTTCTATTGTGGCCTTTCCAAAAATTGGAATTTTTTAAGTTTGTTTCTATAACTCCCCCTCAAACTCAACTTAGTAGGCATTTGAAGCCCGAGTTTGAAGTAATAGTCTTGAAAAAAATCTTCTGAAAAAGGCTTGGTGAAGATATTAGTTACGTGATTGCGAGAGGAAACAAATCGAGTAATAAGTAATCCAAAGCGAACATTTTTCACAAACAAAATGATCGTCTAACTCAATGTACTTGTCCATGCATGAAAAACTAGATTAACAGTCATGTAGAGAGTACTGATATTGTGTCAAAAAAGCGTTGGTGACTGAGGAAGAGGCAACCCAAAATCGCGAAGAATAAAAGAAAACCATGTCAATTTTGCAGTAGTGGATGCCATAGATTGGTATTTCGCTTCGGCATGTCATAGATTGGTATTCCGCTTCGACACTTGAACAAGCCACAATCGACTGTTTCTTAGCACTCTAAGATGTGTAGTTGAAACCAATTAGGTGTAGAAACCAATTGTTAGATACTTAGCCCAGACTGCAGTAGAGAAGGTGATACAGTATAAAATTACTGGCAAACAACGCTGGCAAAAAAAGCCATGTTTTAGAGAGAGAAATAAAAACTGAGAAGAAAACCACAATAAGAAAGAACAAACATACGGATCCCAATCTTCGGCGATGTGCCCACAAGCATAAGAGGAAAAAAGAAAAATAAAGCCCACAAGGGAACTCTATCTGTCTTATTCTCGTCAAAAAACTATTCACCATTTTTTAAAGGGTGCAGTTTGTATAGAGCCTAGGCTCGGGCTCTAAACAATCAAATTAGAGCCTACATTCAAATAGTGTTGAGAAATCTGGTTTTACTATTGAAAATCTTTGTGATAGCCTTAAAATATATTTTCATAGTTATTTATAAAGCTCAAAGCTTGAAAAATAGTGTACATCGATAGATCTATGAAAACTTGAAAATCTTGACAATTGACGGTCTAAAAATGTGTTACAAAATACACTATTTTCAAAACTTGAAATCCATTTTTTTTCTCATGACCATGCATCTTGATGTCGAGATGATCAATTTGAACATATTTGGGCATCAAAACAACCTCTTCTAGTGAACTTTTTGAGGTAAGCTCAAATTTGATTGTCTAGAGCCTCGACTCTAAATAAACTTTTTCGTTTTTTAAAATGACCATGCCTCCTTTTTAATATCTATAGCAAAAAGAATAACCCAACTACTATTTATGGTAAAAGCTTTATTCGTCTAACAACTACAGTCTTATCATCTACTTCTCCTAAACTTCTCCTACCAACAAACTTCTCCTACCAACAAAACAAGACATCAACTTTATATCATCTACTTCTCCTAAACTTCTCCTACCAACAAAAAAAGACATCAACTTTATATCATCTGCTTCTCCTAAACTTCTCCTACCAACAAAAAGACATCATCTTTATCTTTAGGCCAAGCTTTCTATTCTTTCCTTACAGCATTCTCCTTATCCAACCGTCCATTTTGAATGGAGGACTAAGATTGCCCCAATCACAATGTCACGTCTTCACACTATTTTATTTTTAATTTTTTCCTATAAACTATTTTGACACCAAATTTTAGACATCCAATCCTCTATTAAACTTGCACTAGTGAAAAATATAAAAATAATATTTTTAATAAAATAAAATGACAAAAATACCCCTAAAAGTTGGTACTTGGTTATTATATTTTATCGAAAAATTATTTTAAATTTTTTTTATAGGTGTGCCCCAATGAGAAGATGACACGTACCAAATTTCATATTCATACAATTTGTATAAAAAAAACTAAAAATAAAATAGTTTGCGACATCGGATCTAAGATCAAATGGTGAGTGGCTCTCTTGATCAAAATTGGGCGGTTGGATGGTAGGAGAAGCTTAGATCTTCTATGCTATAAGGGAAGTATAGAAACCTTTCCCTTATCTTTAAACCCAACTTCTAAAACAAAAGATAAACTCGTCCGCTTTATAGATGTCAACTATAGACGTCCTCCTTATAAAACTTAAATACCCCAGAATTAAAAAATCCTCACATTTCAACTACATCAAATCCCCAAATATCTAAACAAATCAAACCCACAATGAATGGCTAAACCAAGGTTCTAAAAAATGGATCGGTGACCCAGATCGGTCACCCAAAAAACTGTGTCAGATCGGTGTATTTTGGCACAACAAAAATTTTAAAAATCATTAAAAATCTCTAAAAATAATGTTGTTTGAGTTTCTAAAAAAATGGGTGGTACATTATGTACTTTTATTACTTTGTAAAAATATATGAATATTAAGACGTTGTTTTCCTGTCTGGATGTTTGTTAACCATTTATTTCTAACACTGAAAAAAAAAGTCTATAATAATCAAATATATAAATACAAAGTCCAAATTGGAACATACAACAACCAAAATACAATTTACTACTAAAACGAAAGGCGGTGCCGTTCTTCCTCATCATCGCATTGATGCATCTCATTGAATTATCTTGGTAATTTAGTAAGTCGATTCATGTATGCCTCGGAATCCTCGGTGTCTACCTGACTATACCCACACCCCCACAGTTGGAGAACTATTGATCTCCTTGCTCGACGTCCCTAAGGCTTGTCTAGCCCTCGTGATGACGCCCCCTCTGTTGCTCCCCTCCATACTATTGCTCACACCCACCATCTTGTTGCTGGATCTAGAGTTGCATATATCCAGGTTGGGATAGGGATGCCTCAGTATCATTATATATCTCGTTTCGTCCCATATCGCTTTCTTACTTTCCTTCAATAGGTGCAGTACCGTTTAGATCTTCAACCAATTGCTCAAAGTCGGTGGGCTCCTCCTCCCTACTCATCAACATCTTGTTCTTCGCACTCCTCACCGATTTTCTAGAGAAATGCTTTCTTACCCAGCTCTCGAGACTCTTCCTCCACAAACCATTGTTTGGTTGTATCTGCGATAAGTATCGCATCCAAGTCGACGGGTTGTAATCCTCAATCTTCATCTCTTGATGTCGTCAGAGCTTCGAATTGTAATGAATGAAAATGAGCTTATGAAGTCTCTCAGAAGTCTGTCAATTTCTTCTAGGGTGTGTATCCACAAGAAGGTCCTCCAGTTCCACTCATTTCTAGTAGCTGAACATGTCTGGAAGAGCACCTTGATTGTTATCCTTTTTACGTGAGATGAGTCACCATGCTGACACTAACACCATTTAGCTGAAATAAGATGTAAAGTGCATCGTAAGAAAGGAAAAAAATATTTCATTAGGAAAATGGTGTAAAAAAAGACGTAATTACAGACATGATTACCTGGATCCATCGTACTTCGAGAAGTTATGGCAAGTCTTATTGCAAACGAGCCTTTCGCTTCTCTATACATAGACATTTGTGAAAGACATTATGCTTTAGTACTTTAATTATGCATCAGGTCAATGGAATGTTTATAGGTTATATGGTTCCTATCCGACCTCTCGATAATATATTTCACCCACTCAATGATGTTATTAGGAATAATAGGCACCACGTAGAAACAATTGGGGCTGAAGTAGACCACATGAATCTTTCCTACCTCTTTGACAATCAATGAACTTCGCTTCCTTCTTCACCCCAGTGGCAATTCTACTGGACAAGAATGTCGTACTACATGGGCA